TCATTTAGTCCTCACAACAACCTCCAAAAATCAGCCCTATCGTCTCCATTTTGCATGTGAGGAAACTGAGGCTCAGAGAGGTAGAGCAATGTACCTAACCACACACAGCTAGGTCCACTTGAATCCAAGACCATGCTCTTTCTACTCTTCCAAGCCAAGAATAAAGTATGAGTGCACGTCACCAACATTCAAGAGAGAAGGTGACGGGGCGGGGGGTACCTGCAGGAGGGAGACAACAGGCTATAGGAACTCAGAGGAGGGAGAGATTTACCTTCTGAAGGCTTCCTGGAGGACAGGCCACATGAGCTGGGCCTTGAACGGTGACAAACCAACCCCTCACACCATAGCTGGCTTCTAACTGACCCAGTGGTCTGTTAGAACCTCCCAGTGGCAGGTCTGGCTCCTTCACCCTATTTTAGAGCTGTGCAGACTGAGGCTCCCAAGGAACAAGTAGTGAGGTCTCAGACCTCGAAGCTCCGTCCCTGTACTGCCTGGCAGTGAAGGGAGTGCCCAGTGTTGGTGGGACTGGGATGCGGCAGCTGAGGAGGAAAGGCCCTTTCCCTAGACAGTGTCATTACACAGTCATGTGAGACACTGAACAAGGAAGACCGAAGAAGAATTGACACCTTTGAATTGCGGTGTTGGCGAAGAATATTGAATAGACCATGGACTGCCAAAAGAATGAACCAATCTGTCTTGGAAGAAGTACAGCCAGAATGCTCCTTAGAAGCAAGGATGGCGAGACTGCGTCTTACATACTTTAGACATGTCGTCAAGAGGGATCAGTCCCTGGAGAAGGACATCATGCTTGGTAGAGGGTCAGTGAAAAAGAGGAGGACCCTCAATGAGATGGATTGACACAGTGGCTGCAACAGCGGGCTCAAGCATAACACCGATTGTGAGGATGGCGCAGGACCGGGCAGTGTCTCGTTCTGTGGTGCATAGGGTCGCTATGAGTCGGAACCGACTTGACGGCACCTAACAACAACAGCGTGATAGGAAATGTCACCATCTGGGCTTGAAACCAGGCCTGTCAGACCCCAAAGCCATCCTGCCTCGGCTGGTCTGATTCTGATATCCTGTGGTCCCAAGATTCTCTATTTGTGGCCTAAAACCAGAGTTCTTCCCCTGGGGGTGAACCGCAGCCTGGCCCCACCCAACCACAGCCCCCACCCGGCCTCACCACAGTCAGCTCCGTGGTTTCCCAAATACTCTCAACCAGCAGCAGCTTTTACCATAATGTCTCCCATGAGGGGTCGCTGGTCAATTTCCCCTGCTTAGTTCTCGAATTCTTTTAAAGGGGAAGGTGGCTGAGGCCCAGGTGGGGCTGTGGCTGCCCCTCCCCAAATGGCCTCCACGTTGACTCACACTCTCGCCACAGCACATCATTTCAGCTTAATTTTATTTCCTCTTATAAATGGGCACAGCACAGGAAGTGTTAAAAAGAAAACAAGAAACCAAAAACCAAACAACAAAAAAACAGTTCCTTCACAAGGCAGGGACAGGTGAGTGCCCGCACTGGGGCGGCGCCTTGGTCTTTTTCCACTCTTCCTCCTCTTTTCCTTATTTAAAGTTCTGACCATGAACTTGGGACAGGTATGGTTAACAAACAGGTTATGAGGAGAGCAAGGTCAGGGAAGGCCCGGGGGAGGGAAGGACAAACTCCCACCCACCCCGGGCCGGGTCATCAAGGGCTCTGTACAGAACGGACGCGCTGGGGGAGGGACACTCTTCAGGGGGGCTCTCTGGAGCCTCACTGTCTACGAAAAGTATTTACATGCATTCACCACGCTGGGGCCGGTGCACCAAGGAGTAGGGCGGGCACCCGGGCAGGCACCCGGGGGTGCGCAGCCATTAGCCCTCAGAGGGCGACTCCAGACCCAGTCTTGGCGTCTCTGTATATCTGTACAGTTTGTGGACTCCTATTAACAGGCAGGAGGCCTGGGAGGCAAGTCCAGGGTTATGGCTGGCAGGAGTGGAAATCCAGTAGAGCCCTGGGGAGACAGCTACTCCTGCCCCAGATGTCTGCTCCCTGTGCCCGAAGGCCCCCACCTGGAGACCTAGACAGTCAGGCCTGCCAACCCCAGGGGGTCTGGTCGAAGCACCCAAGCCCCCACCCACAGGCTGCCCGCCCAGCCCTGGTTGCCACCTGATGCCCCCCGTGCTCAAGGGGACCAGCCTTTCAGGACTCCAGAGACCTCACGCCTCCAGCCCCCTGGGCTCTAGAAGTCACAGCCAAAGGGTGGGATGGCCACCCCCCTGCCCCAGTCTTAGAATGGCCCGACCTCCATCCCTCTAGGCTACAGCCTGCCTTGTACTCAGGCCACACAGCTCCCTCTCATTCAGAATCCTCCATGCTCCCAGGAAATGCCAGGGCCCTGCAGGCACCTTCCCCAGGGAAACGGGGGTCTGGGATCTACTTGGGCAGACCATGCCCACATCACACCACGGGCAGGCAAGTGAGGGCCCTGTGCCTACTCACTGCACCTTGGAGAGCGCCAGCTCGTCCTCTTTATTCTCTTGGATGCCTTACCCAAATTGGGCTGGCCAGACCACAGTAAACTTCATAGGGAAAAAGCCTGCAGATTTGTTTGGGGTCCAGGGCCCTTGGCCTATTTTCTCAAATGCTAGGGACACAGAGAACACAGGCCAGTGCCAGGAGGCAAAGCCCCAAACCTCACATTGGAACCCAGCCCTCAGGATGAGAGGAGGCAGGCCCACTGGGGCCTGGCTACACGGACCAGGCCCCTCCACGCCCATTCGGGCTGGCCTAAAGCGACCCCGGGTCATCTCTCCTGTGCTGGACTCCACCCCCACCAGGGGCTCCCGGCCCTGTGCAGGGGTACTCCCAGTCCCAGCCTCCACTGGGCTTCTGCTGGGTGTCCAGATCCTCCCTCCTCCATGCTCCCCAGTTTCTCAGCCTCGGCCTGCCCAGGCCTTCTCACCAGAGCTGCTACCCACAAGGCAGCAGCCCACCCAGGAAGCAGGGCAGAGGGAGGCTGGGACTTTGGGTCTCCTCCACTCTCTATCCCCCAGCCCTCCTGCTCCAGGGGTGATAGAGGCCAAGTCACCTCCTAGAGATGTCCTGGGCCCCTGGGCCCCTCCTCAAAGGCTGGGTTCCTCACAAGCCTCCAGGCCCTGCCAAGAGGAACTTCAGGTCTACAAGAGGGAGCCCAGCCTGGGAGTAGGACCCTGGAGAAGGCAGGCTGGGGGAGACCTCCCTGGAACCTCACCCTCCCTGCCTCAGGCACCTCCCACCCTCACCCTGCAGAAATCTGGGAGTTCTGAAAAGGGAACAGAAATAAAACCTGGGATCCTGACTGGGGTCTGGTTGGGAGTGGGGGTGGGTGTGAGCACCAGCCAATCACAACTCACACCACATCCCTTTGGCTCCAAGTGCCCCGCCGAGAACACCCTCCCCAAAAGGGGATGTGACTCCACATTTAACAGCACAGAAGGGGAGGCAGGCTGGGGGGCTATGACACCCCCACCAACACCTGCTCTGATGTCTCAAACCTCTATCCTGGGGCCCTGGGGCAGCCCATCTCGGACAGGCTGCTTGCCGCTGCAGCCAGAACGGCTGGGTTCTATGGCCCAGTGGGTCGGCAGGTGTCCATGATGAGGGCAGAGGTTGGCCCGGTGAGGCCAGGGAAGAGGGTGCAGAGAGGCCAGGCAGCAGGGCCGGCCCGCACAGGCACTTCGGAGACTTGGTGTTCTGGGAGGCAGGGTCGGCCCCTAGCTCAGAGCAGGAGGGAGGCAGGGAGATCAGGAGCCAGACCACATGCCCCCCACCTGGGGCCTCTGGTCCTGGGAGGCCCAAGCACCCTCCACAGCCTGGAGCTGAGTCCAAGAACCAAGCCTATCCTGCCTCCGCCTTGGAGAAGCCTCACGGCTCCCAGCTAGAGGGGGGCTGGCCCAAATGTCCCCCTTTGTGGGCTATAGTGGGGAGGGATGCAGGAAGGGGTGAGGCCAGCAGGCCCAGTCCAGTGTGCAATGCCCTAAGGGGGCTTTTGGCAACATCCCCCACATCAAGCTTTACTCCAGGAAGGGCAAGTGCCCGCGGTCTTCCTCCAGCGTGAGTGGGTTGTGGAGGGTGAAAGTGTGCATCCACATAGGACTGTGTCCAACAGGGCAGGGTCGTTGCCAGTGTGGTTGCTGTGGGTGCCGTGGTGTGGGACTGAGTATGACAGGGCAACTTGGGGTGACCCAATATGGGCTGATTGTTCCAGCCTGATTCCACCCTCCTCGTGAGCCTGAAAACCAGAGACAAGGTGTATGGAGCCACAGTGTGAGTGTATGAGAGAGGGAGGGGGACAGACAGAGACTGGGCAGCCACACTGACACTCTGACTGGTGACTTGCATTGTCGTGACTGTTTGGGGTGCATAAGGAATGCATGAGAATCTTTGGGTGGGTGGGTAGGTGGGTGTGTGGGTGTGTGTGGGTGTGTGTGGGTGTGTGGGGGGGTGTGGGGGTGTGTGTGTGTATGCGAGAAAGGGAGCGGCTGCGTGGTTAGGATTGTGGTGATTTTGTCATTGCGTGCTTTTGTTGCGGCAGTGTGACAGTATGTGACAGTGTGGATGATGACTGTACAGAGCCCTCTAGCAGGAGGGACGTCAGGGCAGCCTCGCCTCAACGGTGGCTGCCCGGGCACCCTCAGGAAGCCATATCTTCAGGGGAAGACTCAGAAGGAGGTAAGCCTGTGGGTGCATTCGTTTCGGGGTGGGAGGGGATTCCATGACCCCAGCGAGGCCAGGACAGGCTGGGATAAGGGACACCCTCTCACCCAGGCGGAGATGCAGTGGGACAGGAGCAAGGGGTTGCCTTGTCCAGGTGATTTCAAGGGCCGAGTCTGCCAAATGCTTGTTCCGGAAACCAGCCAGCCAGAGCTCTGCTTGAACGAGGAGCCGCAGGCCAGCCCAGGGGGGCCGCCTAGGGCGCAGGCCCATCTCAAGCCCCACCCCTTCTTCCAACAGCCAATCAGGAGCTTCCGTCCTCCTGTCCGGCTGACGTGAGGTCCTGAGCCCAGGGCTGGTGGGGGACAGATGAGCTTGTGAGGGCACAGTCTGGAGCAGATGGCAGTGCTCCCTGCCCCTCGGGGAAGGTCTATGTGAGGCTGGCAACCTGGGGAGGCCTCGGGAGAGTGGGCAGACAAGAGCTGGTGCCAGGTCCCCTCCCGGGCCTGGCCTGGTGAGGCTGGATGGGGACAGGGCGCAGGGCGGGGCTGAGGCTGTGGGCAGGCACTGAGGCTCCGCTAGGCGTAGAACTCCTCCTGCTTGTCAGGCTTCTGGTACGTGACGCTTGCCTGCTTGGGTTCCTCCAGCGTGTAGCTGCCCTCATCCTTCTTCTTCATGCGGTAGATGAGCAGCGTGACCAGGAAGGCGGCGAAGAGGGCGCCCACGACCCCGCCCACAATCACAGCTGCAGAGGGAGAGGGCAGAGGTCAAGGTCCAGAGGCAGGTGGGATAGGGTTTGAGCCTGGGGAGTGCTAAGGGGCCCTGCGGGCAGGGTAAGGCTGGGGGAGGGCTGGGAGTCCCACACCTGAGATAAGTGTTGGAGTGAAGATGGGGTCAATACTAATACTGCCAGTTCTGGCCCCCACTGACACACCCTCACTGCGTGCCTGGCTCCCTTCTAGGCACCTGACACACACTTAATCCCCTCAACAGCCCAAGGAGGCTGCTGTGCTCTTCATCCAATGTAGGATCCCCTCAATCATAAGATGCACCATTATTTTATATACTGCTGTAGGGTCGCTATGAGTCGGAATCGACTCAACAGCAATGGGGTTTTTTTTTTTTTTTTTTTGATGGGAAAAGAAAAATTTCTGCCAATTTATTTTTTTGGTGCTGTCCAGTAGATTTTGACTCATTTTAATGCCATATGACAGAACTGCCCCACAGGGTTTTCTTGGCTATAATCTTTATAGAAGCAGATCGCCAGGTCTTTCTCCTGCAGAGCCAGTGGGTGGGTTCAAACCTCCAACGTTTTGGTTAGCAGTCAAACACTTAACCATTGCTCCACCAGGGCTCCTTTAAACGATGGCACATCCCAATTACAGAAGAGTTTATATAGCAGGCATGTAGCTTAGAACTAAGTGCAAATGATCGCGCCCGTTCTACAGATGAGGAAAAGGACACGTAGAAAGGTGAAGTACCCCACCCGAGGTCATACTGTGCGTTAGTGGGAAGCAAGGATTTGGACCAAGAGTTTAGAGTTCAGGAGATGTGGCCAGGGGCTGAGGGCAAGTCAAGGCAAAGGATGAGGTCAGAGATTAGAATCCAGGGAGTGAGGTCCAAGGAGGGTCAACTAGCATGGCTCAGGGAAGCAGGGCCAGAGGGTACTAAGGAAAGTGCTGGAGGTGGAGATGAAGTCAGGGTCAGACCCTGGGATAGGGGAAGGTCAAGCAGGAATCATATCAGGTCTAGGGGTTGGATCCCCAGCTTTCCCGTCCTATCTGGCTCCTAGGAAACCCACGCCCTGACTCCCTCCAGGGTTCCTAGGGGACAAACTGAGGCCCAACCACCTGCCTCCATCTGAGCTCCTCTTTGGTCCAAATCCCAAGCCTTACCTACGAGCACCTCCTTCCGCTCCAGGATGCTCTTCTGAGGCAGCTGCGCAGCCGAGCTGCCTGAGTCGATGGCATTGTCCAGGGGGTCAGGGCCGGGGCGGGCACCCTTGGGCAGCACCTCAGGTGGAGGTGAGGGTTTGGCTGCCGGCCCTCCCACAGCCACCACCTCATTGGCTGTGTCTGGCTGCGTGGTCTCTTCCTCTGACAGCTCAAAGTCCCCACTGGGCCCCCCGCTCACGGGCACCTCTGGCTCATCCCGGATTGTAGTCAGGAAGGACTCTGGAGTAGGGGTCTGCAGGGAAGGTGGCATGAGCCCAGGAGCCAGACCCCAGCATCCTCTGCCACAGGCAGCTCCTTCCCACCGCCCCCCCACCCACACACACACAAGCCCATGACCACCACACTGCCCCCTCATGTGCCAGGCCCCGTACAAAATACTTTCAATACATTTTACCCTCACAACATCCCTATGAAGGAGGTATTATTATCCCCAATTTACAGAGCAGGATATAGGCTCAGAGAGGTTAAGTGACTTGCCCAAGGCCACACAACCAGTAAACGGTAGAAGCAGAACTACAACCCAGTTGTATCCAACTCTGGGGTCTGAGTTTGTAACCTACATGTAATGCTATGCTGCCTCTGTTCTCTTCCCTGGCCACATCCTGTCCCCATCCCATCCCCGTCACTTCCCCCTCTAGTTGCCTTAGTAACAATCCTTGGGGAACTCCTGTTGAGGAGCCATGTGGGGACTGCTGGGTGCAGCTGCTATGTACTTGGATCTGGTCCCTGGTCCATGTACCTGAGGCATAGGTGAGTCCCTTAGCCTGGAGGCCAGTCCAAGGGCACAACCCGCAGAGTATGATGCCCCTTGGGAACAGGTGTCCAGGGAACCAGCCCAGTGACCACAACCCCACCCTGTGGAGGCAGGGCCAGAGCTGGGAATCATGAGACCAAACCAGGGGCAGTCGGAACCACTGGGACTGGATGTGGTAACTTCCCAGGTGGGTGTGGAGAGGGTGAGCCTAGTGTCTGGACAGTGCTCAGTGGCTAGACCAGCAGCCTGGACTCTGCGCCGGCCCACTCAGGCTCTGTGCCCTATCATTGTTTCCCCTTCCTGCTTGGCCAAGCATCTGTGAAAACACTAGGCTGCCCCAGCTGCTCAGAGAAGCCATGGGATGAGGCTCACATCCTGCTGGGGTCCAAGAGTTAAGGGACTGGCCAAGGAACTGGAGGGGGCCGACACTGACCCCGAGAACAGCTTCACAGCCTAAGCCCCTCCCTCAGTGAGACCAACTGCAAGGGGCTTTTGTGCCGCCATCAGTCCTCACCACCCCTTCCTTGCACAGCACACCCAGCAGGATCAGACTCGGTTTCCCATTTCCTTGATACTCCGCCATCCCTGGCATTCCTAACCATCTTCATCCTCTTCCCTTCAATCCCCACCCCATGTATAAACCTGCCAACACACACACACTCATACACACTCACACACAGTCTCTCTCATACACACACTCACACATACTCTCACACACACTCCCCAGCCCTAGACGGAGCTGAGCCGACTGCTGGGGAGTCACGACTGGCTGTGAAACCTTGGGAACATGGCTTCACAGTCCTGTGCCCCAACTGCCTCACCTGTAAAACGAGTGCCGTGTTTAGCACTGAGCCGAGCACACAGGCATGCCACAAATGTGAGCTCAAATCATTCTTCCCATACAGCCCCACTCTTAACCACCCTCAGACTAATGATGATGATAATAATAGCAGCAACGACAACTGCTGAGACTTTTAGTTTACGATTACCAGGCATCATTCTAAGCACTTTGGATATATCTATAAATTTAATCCTCACAACACTATGATTTACGTTATATTACTTTCTTCTTTTCACAGATAAGGAAAACAGAGGTCTAGAAAGGATCTGTGACTTGCTGAAGTTCACATGGCTAAAAAGTGGCAGTGGGAGAATTCCAATCCAGGCTGCCTGGCTCCTGAGTCTGCTCTTAAACAGAACACACAGGCCCGCCGCATCCCCACCACCAACACACACATGCACGGCTCCAATTCCTCCCCTACATCTTGCCCCAACATCCTAAAACCCAACCACCCCACCCCTGGCTCTCTGTCTCCTTATCCCTCATCCAGGCTTCTTTTCCATCCCCATATCTCTCAATCTCCACCCTCATCCTCCGTCCGCATGCCCCTCTGGTCCTCCCCACTCCAGTCTGGCTCATCTCCAGACAGTCCTGGTCCTCACCCTGCCAGCTCCATCCTTCCTCCCCAGGCTCTGACCCATCCTCGGCTCACTCCCTGTCCTCTCCCAACCCCCTCACCTGATCCACCTCCGTGGGTTCAGGGGCAATGGTCCCCAGGGGCAGGGTGCTCCTCTCGAGGATGTCAGGCTCCTGGGTGGTCGTCGGCCTGGGAAGGGCTCTTGGCCTGGAGGTAGCTGTACTGACCAGCCTGGGTGTTGGGGCCTCTGTGTCCAAGACAGCTACGGTGGTGGGAGGCGAGGGTGCTGCTGGGGTGGTGGCCCGGGCTGTGGCTGCTGTGGTCAGTGGAAGTGGCAGAAGCCTCCGTATGCCAGTGGTCCTTATGATAGTAGTGGTGGCCGTGGAAGGAGGTGCTGCAGGGGTGCTGGGGGCAGCAGTGGCCACCGTGGCAGGCACAGTGGCCACAGTGGGGGCTCCTGGGGTCGTGGCAGCAGTGGTAGCCATGGTAGTGGCAACGGTGGTAGCTCTCTGGCTGGGATCTCCCGGGACCTCTGTCACCACCAGGGTGCTGGTGGCTGGCTCTGGGGTGGGGTGCTCAGAGGGAAGCTCTTCAAATGGGGTGCCCACAGGCTGGATGTCCGTGGTGGGCAGCTCAGCGGGGGTTGTGGACACTGCCAGGGCCACGTCCGGGCTGAACCGCATGGCTGTCTCAATGCCTGACTCCTGCTCGAAGTCTGAGGAGGTGGGGAAGAGGAAGAGAGCTAGCGAGCTGGGAGACTGTGAGGGGCATGAGGATCCCATGTAAGCAATGGCCATCAAGTTTGGGGGCTCCCAATCCCCTCTCTTTGCCCAAATTCCCCCAGGACAAGATGAGAGAAAGAAGGAAGGCACAGTTTGGCCAAAGGTTATCCCTTTGGCTAATGAATGTTCCCCAACTCCTCTCTGCCTAGTCAAAAGTTCTTCCAGGGGCCCCTTCTTCCAGGAAGCCTTCCCTGACTATTCCAGCCCACCCAGCCTGGAGCTTCTATCAGGTCAGTTCAGCCCACAGCAACTGAAGCCTACTGGGTGCAAAGCTCGCTGAGGGCTGAAGGGGGCAGGGGTAGCATTCTGGGAAGAGAGTCAGACCCAGGTACACCCCTACCACAAACACAAGATAGTGGGTTCACTAAAGGCTCCCCCAGAGGCAAAGGCAGAGGGCAGTGGAACAGCAAGTGGGGGAAGGAGTCCTTCCTACAAGGGAGTGCTTCAGCAATCTGTCTCAAAGCCAGGAATCGTGAAGGGGCTTGAGAGGAAAGGAGAGACGGAGGGAGACCACAGATAATTCCTGGGGGCCTGAACCAGGCAGAGGAGGGGCATGGGAGGAGCCAGGGGGCCATCTCCTCAGACACAGTCCTGGCCCCTCACAAGGCCCAATCTCAGCCCTCTCCTTTTTTGGCTACCATTTTTAGAGCTCTGTGCCAGACGCCTGTCTTATCTCAAACCCTCACAGCGGCTGAGAGGGATACTTATCTTCACTTATACAGATAAGAATACAGAGATTCAAAGAGGGAAAGTGGCTTGTTGAAGGGCACACAGCTGTTAAGCAGCAAAGCTGGGATTCGAACTCGTCCCTCTCTTGTCCTTGCTCTAACCCCGCCCCTTGGCTACAACTGATTGGACCAGAGGAGGGCACCTGACCTAAGTGGAGCCAATCAAATTGCCTCTGCTGAGGGTTTGCCATTACAACTAAAAACCAAACCAACCGGCTGCCATCCAGTCCACTCCGACTCATAGAGATCCTGTAGAACAGAGTAGAACTGCCCTATAGGGTTTTCAAAGCTGAAATCTTTAGGAAGCAGACTGTCACATCTTTCTTCCGCGGAGTGGCTGGTGGGTTCGAACCACCGACCTTTCAGTTAGCAGCCCAGTGATTAACTACTGTGCCACCAGGGCTCCTGAGAAGTGCTAAATTCCCTCTGGTAGTTGAACAGTAATTTGAAAATTGGGTTGCAAAGGGGTGGCTCTGTGTCCCTACTGAGACCAGGGGGCAGAGACAGCAGGGCTGCAGAGAGCCCATGAGGCCATGGAGAGCTGGGAGTCCTCCAGGCCCTGGTTCTGGTACCTGGGAGGGTCACCTGCCCTTCTTGTTCTTGGGGTCCAGGAAGACCCCTGCCTGGCCTCCCTACAATAAAGCTCCCCCGCATTGCGTAAGGGAGCTGAGTGGGTTTCTGTTCCTTGCAAGCAAAGCTGCGGGTGGGGCGCTAAGTGCACGCTGCTCACCGCCCCAGACAGGGAAAGGAAGGATGTACTTACAGCCCGAGCCTGACCCCGAGGAAAGGTCATCCAGCTCGTCATCAGGGAAGGAGTCATCGTCCCCGGAGCCCTCGAGGTCCACGGGCCTCTCGAAGTTCTCGCTGCGCCAGCGCTGGGCCTGGGGACCAGAGAGACCAGCGGGCTCAGCACCTGAGGGCAGCAGCCTGGACTCGCCCAGAGGGGCAGACACACATGGGCCGAGGACCTCGGTGTGGGCAGCAGGGAGTTGGGGGCAGGCCTGATATCCCTCCCCGGCCACTGAAGGGTCGCAGCCCCCATCGTCCTCTTGACAGTCATCACTGGAGACCCCTGGTTAGTCACCCATCACCTGATCAGAACCACTGAGCGGCAGAGCCGTGTTCAGAGTGCAGATTCTGGGGCCAGATTGCCTGAATTTGAATCCATCACTTAAATGTGTCACCAGCAGCAAATTACTTAATCTCCCCATGCTTCTGTTTACTCACTAATAGTAGCTGTGAGCTAATAGGGTTGTGAGTATTCAGCGTGCTGACGCATGTGCAGTGCTGAGCGCAGCCCTAGTTCACAGAGGTGCTTGGTGCAGGCTCCCTGTTACTCTCGGTGTGGTCAGCATCACCACCACCACTCACAAAGCGTCTTTCACAGACAGGATCCCACGCGTGGGAATCCTCAAGACAAGCGGGGGGAAGAGGGGGTGGTGAAGGTCATCAGTCCCATTTGACAGATGAGAGAACTGAGACCTAGCTGCACAAGGTCACCAGAAGCATGTGATATGCATGAGACCCAGACTGCTTGGTACCCACCATCCCCCACCTCAAAATCCCAATTAGCACCATCGGGAAATTTGAGTACCTTGTCGGGGGTGGGGGGAAGAAGGGGTGCAGGCTCCATCCCTGGCCCTGGGTCCTCCCCAAAACAAGAAGTCAGCTCCCTCCCCCAACCACTCCCAAAGTATTTCAACATCCCAGCTCAGGGCCTGACTGCTACTTCCATGCCTGCCATGAGGGTCTCTAGGAGGTCAGCAGAGGTAAGAGAGGCTTCTCCCAGGGTCCAGCTCATCAGGCCCAAGGGGGAAAAAAAAAACATTGCCATTGAGTCCATTCTCACTTACAGCAATCCTACCTACAGAACAGAGAAGAACTACCCCACAGGATTTCCAAGGAGCAGCTGGTAGATTCAAACTGCCAACCTTTTGGTCAGCAGCCAAGCTCTTAACCACTGTAATCACTGTGCCACCAGGGCTCCCCAGGCCCAAAAGTCCTCCCATAGTTGGAACCTAGGAAGGCTGGGAGCTAGGACTCTTGGGTCCCCACTCTGTCCCCACCCCCACCCCCACCTCAACCCTGGGGTTGGAGCCAGTGCCATGACCTCAAAGGCAGCAGTGCTAACCCCCTGAGAGGAGCAAACTTGGCCCTGCTCTGTGGCCCTCCCCCCACCACACCTTTACCCTGGTTCCACACTGAGCCCAGCCACAGTCCTTGCCCACTGTACTTAACTCCTGGTGCTTGGATAGGAAGGACGTGGCATTTGGGTCTTAAATAATTGAAATAGAGAGAGAAAGGCATCTCAGGCAGAGGGAAGAGAATAAGCAAATGCTCCGAGGCAAGGAAGTGCTTGTGGAGCTGGCCCTCCCCACCCCTTTCCACTCAATTCCAGCCACCTAGGTCCCTTCTGTTCTGGAACATGCCTGGTCTTTCCTGCCTCCTTCAGTCATGCTATTCCCTCTGCCTAAACACCCTTCCTGCCCATCCCCTCATCCCCTAACTTCTTTGCCAACTAACTCTGGCTCCCACATCACTGCTTGTGAGAAGCTCTCCTACTCTGACCTTTCAGAGCATCCAGGGCTTCTGAATCCACACACTTATCACTACTTGTGAGATGTGGCTGGCTGTGAGTATTTCTGTTCCATGGCTGTGCCCACCCCCACCAAACTATACACTTGATGAAGGCAAGGACAGTGTCTAGAGACCAGCAAGGTGCCTGGCATACATATAGTAGGCATTCAAGAACTATTTGTTTCGGGATGACTGTTGGGTAGGAAGATGTCAGTGGTTCACGGGGTGGGGTGAGGCAGGGGTGGCTGGAGTGGAGGCCAGGGAAGTCAGCTGGGGATCACAGAACACGTGATCTGGGAAATGGGTCATTTTTAATGCTGGCTGCACAGCAGAATTTCATGAAAGCTGTCCTCAGTGAGTCAGTAGGTCTGAGGGTGGAGCCTGAGCATCTGCACTGTGTGACCTCTCACAGAGGAGTTGGAGCTGCCGACAGCAGGGAGCCACAGAAGGTGTGTGAGCAGGAGAGGGACTGCACTGGCACTCTGTTCTGTGTTCAGACCGACACACACCCGCCACTGACGGCCCCATTCTAGAGTCTATACAGAGCTGGAGAGAGGCTGCTGCAGAATTTCCATCCTGGCTTCCGGCCCCCAGCCTGGACCACCTGCTCGAAAGCCCTATCCCGCTCAGCCAGGGCAGGAGGCCAGGGCAGGAGGCCAGGGCAGGAGGCCAGGAGATACCCTCCAACACACACACACACAGTCTCCAAGTAATGAATTAATCAGCATTTACTTGCTACCAGTGAGTCACAGAGTGGAACAATTAGTGTAATTGCTCCCATGACTAATTGTTGGGTCTTCCTCCTTTTCAGACATTCCAGGAGCTCTGAGGAGCTATCGTCCAACTTTCCCCAGCTCCTGTCTCTGTCCTCACTGCCCAGAACAAATCCCCAGGACCCAGGGCTGGGGGACCAGAAGGCTCCCTACACTACCAGCCTCCACAACCTGGGCTAGCTAGCCACACTTGAGTCCCTTGGAGATGCTGTGCTCCCGTCCCTCTAGTTCTCAGACAAGCAGCCTGAAGCCAGAGAACTGCGGCTCCTGCCCAGGACCACAGCAGGGTGGGGCAGGGCAAGGAACAGCACCCAGGCTCGCAATGCCCTTTCATCCTTCCAGGCAGGGCAAGGAGTGGCTCAGAGGCCTTTAACTCAGAGGAAGGGTTCTAAGAGGTTTGTGATCCCTGGGAGTCCCCAAACAGGGGTAAACATGGGGGCCAGATTAGGGAGTCCTTGTGATTCCTCAGTGACCAATGCCACACACCAGCCCCTAACACCCTGCTCCCAGAAAAGCCTGCACAAATCCAAAGTCCCCTCCAAAGGCACCCAGACCATTGAAATAACACACCCAGAGATACGGAGAGAACATACCCACCCCAGACACACCTTGACACACACTCCCCTAAAGGCAGCCACAGAGAAACACTGTGTCAGCATGCCCCTTGGTGCAAACAGGTGCATGCGTGGGGGTTGAGGGGCTGAGGGGGGCACATACTGTGCAGCTCTGAGGCTCAGAGACAAGCATGGAGTCTCCTGTGAATCCATCAGCCTTCACTCAGGTAGCTCTCACCTAGATACTATTCATCCCTAGCTCAGTAGCCATCGACATGACAACCGTTACCATGGTGACCATCTCCTCCATGCTAAGGACCAGGAGCTCCAGCTCCCCACAGAGATGGGGGGAAGCAGGAGAGGGAGAGATCATGGAAGAAGAGAGGAACAGAGAGGACGACAGGGAGAGGGGAGAGGCAGAGACACGGGAAAAGAGGGGAGCCATGGGGCAGAGGGGCACAGAGGGGAGACAGGAAGGGAGAGGTGGAGGAGAGAGAGAGAGAGGGAAGGCATGAGCGGGAGGCAGAGGGAGAGAATTCTCTCACATCTTAATTTAGCCTCACGCTGATCAGACAAAGCTGGGGAAGGGGCCACCTCAGTGATTTTCGAAACCTGCATCCAAGGGAATATTCTTTCCGAATAATAAACAGTTCCCAGATGGGAGGGAGGGGGGTGGCCAGTAACCCAATCACCCCTGAGCTCACCCTAGGAAGCTTGGTGGGGATTTAATGCTGGGGGCGCCTGGGACCTGCCGAGCCCTGGGTGCCATCTCACCAAGCCTCGCGAGCTCTGCCTCTCCTTGGGCCTGCTGGGGGTCTTGAGCTGCTGGGGCCCCAGCAGGACCACTACAGGGGTGCTAGCAGCTGCTGCTCCCATGGGGGCAGAAAGGAGAGGGGAGAGAAATGGGGGTGGGGAATGGAGCCTGGGAGGCAGCAGAGAAGCCTCAGAAGTCACAATGTGCCTGGGAAGGAAGGTGACAAACAGCCTTTGACCCCCAAATGACCGCTTCAATTTGCATAATTCTATGCATAATTAGCATAATTATCCATGCAACCTCCTTAAAGGAGAACTGAATCCAAATGCCCCCGAACTCTGACAGCCCCTTCCTGGCCCTCACTGCTCCTGGCTCCGGGGTAAGCTCACACCCTCATATGTCTGACACACACATACCCTCCACATCCACACACCACAAGTAATAGACAATACAGCCCAATACCCTCATGCACACACAACACATCCCAGCACGCACACACAGCCACACCCTACAAAAACACACCGACAGCACTGCTACACACATCCATACCCAGCACACACGCACACATACATACAATTAAAAGTAACACTTCCCAACCCCAACATGCACACCCACTAAGCTTATACACAACACAGCCCAGCACACATCACCACACACTCACCCACTTAATACACCCCAGCCACACACACACACCTAGGGTCCTCAGAGCCACACAACTGCACACCTCCCATCGCCTAACACACCCCACACAAACCTCAGGAAAACTCACAACCACACGTTTAACACACACACATCACTCGAGGCACACACAGGCCCACCCCGGTCAGAGTAGGTTCCCTAAATCACACATCACCTCGATCTACTCCCCACCTGTAGGCACACTTCTCTGACTGGCCACAAACTCTTAACTTGTATACAACCATTTCTCCCGCTCGAATCCCTCACACCCAGACAGCGAGGCACAGGCAAGTGTCCCCACTGCAGAAGCACCTGAACGTCTGCTTCCTGCCACCGCAATCTCAGGGGGCAGACACCCAACTGGAGGCTCCCCCAAGCAGCCGGTGAGGTCTGATGATGGGGCCCCAGGGGGACTGCTGAGGGCCCTGAGGGGGTTCTCGAGACCTCTGCCCAGCTGCTAAGGACCTGCCTGGGCAGGCTCTGGAAGCCCTTCACCTTCACTGCTTCCTTTCATCCCCACAACCCCCAGGGCTTTCATG